GGGGGGGGGGGGCATATCCCGTCCATGAGCGGGGGCATTAATGTCTTACAGACATTTTCTAGTTTCTCAATTTTTGAGTTTTCCCATTGAGTTAACATTGCTCTTCATCAACTTTAAGGCGTTCTTACGCTGGGTCAGCAAGTACGAGTAATTAGACCCTCTACTGTAAGATCCTCAGTCACTGGAACCTGCCAGCTTTTCATATAATATGTACAGGATAGATATATAGTAATCAGCATCCATGAAATGAAACCTGTACATTGTACACTATAACAATTAATATGTCACTGATAATCAATCATCCATGATGCTCACCATTACGATTTGGCTGCATTTTCAAAAGAGAGTGAACATATTTGGGGTAAGATATATAGTATTGCTGTGGAGACCGTGTATAATACATATGTCTAGCATGCTGAGTCTGTACACACACTGCTGGCCAGTGATCCTGGTACCATTAGAGGGGCCATGCATAATTTACTGGCCTAACAAAAACAGCATGTCGAAAAGAGCATGTTGTTTGAAGTTAACCTAATTCATTGATGAGCCATACTAAAGTATAAATGGTGAAGTAAACTGCAGTGGTTTCAGATGATACTGCCTATATCATGTACAGGTGTTTCTGAGGTGGGCTATAGCTAGCTGTCTAGAGGTCCATATTATATGTATATTAGTTCATTCATACTCTGGTACGGTGCTCACAACACTCACTCCAGGCTACTTGCTGTCAATGCAGTTTTCTGTAGTGGTACTCCCTGTCTTTGTGAATTCAACACAGTATTGTAACGTACATGTATGGTTAAGTTGTACTCTGAACGGCTAGTGAATACTGATGGAAGACGGTTTCTCTTCTCTAGTTCAAAGTTAATTTGAATGATTGCGATGTACAGAATCGTTAGACATTTTCTGAAAGGATTCCAGACACGATTTGGTTATTTAAGATGATTGCCAGTTGTTTTTAAGAAATTCAATTTTACAACAACAGTTCAAACCACTTGTAAATAAAATAGTAGATTATTTTACTCTTTTCTATGGTTTAATTGCTTCACAAAGTTTCAGTGAGATCTATTGTTTTGTTATAATTAAGATATTCATAACCACAGCATTTCAAAATTCTGTGATTGTGATCTTGCTGTAGATTAAGCACTGATCACACTTAGTGTTATTTTGTCCTCTCAGACGGTGTTCAGATTTTCCTGGGATTTTAAATATTTCATGGCTTCCTTTTTCTTTCCCTAACATCTTAATATCAATTTTCGGGTTTTGTCATATTCCATCATTATTCAATCCAGCTGTGGGATTGATTTGCCTGGTGTCGCCATTCACATGCATGTTATCCCCTCGTTAGGTGGAATTGTCTTCAGCTGAAGGTCATTTGAGGTCGTACGTTTTATGAGGAGTAATCACTACAGTACACCAACTTCATTAAAATATTACGAAAAAAAAGGATTCCTTTTCTTTTATTGTTATTTGATACATTTAATTTCAGAAAGGATGTTTTTGTTATTGAGATAAATTGTTTTAGTGTTTAAGACAGCACTGTATGGATGTTAATGTGGACCTTGAAAAATTGCTTTGTTTGAGCAATAAAACCACACACAGTCAAAAGTATCTTACTGTATGTTGTGTCAGACAATAAAACTTAACCACACACAGCTGTCAGAAGTATCTTACTGTGTGTTGTGTCAGACAATAAAACTTAACCAAACACAGTCACAAGTATATTACTGTGTGTTGTGTAAGACAATAAAACTTAACCACATACAGTCAGAAGTATCTTACTGTGTGTTATGTCAGACAATAAAACTTAACCACACACAGCTGTCAGAAGTATCTTACTGTGTGTTGGGTCAGACAATAAAACTTAACCACACACAGCTGTCAGAAGTATCTTACTGTGTGTTGTGTAAGACAATAATACTTAACCACACACAGTCAAAAGTATCTTAATGTGTGTTGTGTCAGACAATAAAACTTAACCACACAGGATGTTAATGTGGACCTTGAAAAATTGCTTTGTTTGAGCAATAAAACCACACACAGTCAAAAGTATCTTACTGGGTGCTGTGTCAGACAATAAAACTTAACCACACCCAGTCACAAGTATCTTACTGTGTGTTGTGTTAGACAATAAAACTTAACCACACACAGTCAAACATATCTTACTGTGTGTTGTGTCAGACAATAAAACGTAACCACACACAGTCACAAGTATCTTACTGTGTGTTGTGTTAGACAATAAAACTTAACCACACACAGTGACAAGTATCTTACTGGGGGTTGTGTAAGACAATAATACTTAACCACACACAGTCAAAAGTATCTTACTTTGTATTGTGGCAGACAATAAAACTTAACCACACACAGCTGTCAGAAGTATCTTACTGTGTGTTGGGTCAGACAATAAAACTTAACCACACACAGTGACAAGTATCTTACTGGGGGTTGTGTAAGACAATAATACTTAACCACACACAGTCAAAAGTATCTTAATGTGTGTTGTGTCAGACAATAAAACTTAACCACACCCAGTCACAAGTATCTTACTGTGTGTTGTGTTAGACAATAAAACTTAACCACACACAGTGACAAGTATCTTACTGTGTGTTGTGTAAGACAATAAAACTTTACCACACACAGTCACCAGCATCTTACTGTGCGTTGTGTAAGACAATAAAACTTAACCACATACAGTCAGAAGTATCTTACTGTGTGTTGTGTAAGACAATAAAACTTTACCACACACAGTCACCAGCATCTTACTGTGCGTTGTGTAAGACAATAAAACTTAACCACATACAGTCAGAAGTATCTTACTGTGTGTTGTGTAAGACAATAATACTTAACCACACACAGTCAAAAGTATCTTACTGTATGTTGGGTCAGACAATAAAACTTAACCACACACA